CTGGTGTCAGACGGAATTCTGGCTCGATACATCCAGATACCAGCATTATGTCAGATCACATTGTAGTATCTGCTTAAGACTGCTTAATTCTAGGAATCTGTTTGAGTTCTTTATTTTACTGTTTTATTACTGAATAAGCTTATACTACTTGCATCTTGAAAATTTGCTGTAGTTACAGGAACCAAAGCTGGTTATCCACTGGAGCACTCTGTGTTATTTGATCTCTCTGATTCCCAGGAGAAGTATGGGAATGCAGACAGGGTGTCATTTTTATCTTGGAAGTAGATACCACCTTTGCAAGCAGAACATATACGTATTCTGTTTGTTTTTATCTGGAAGTACAATGCAATGGTATCATTTAAAAAGTTGAAATCACAGCTGAGATCTAAAAGTTTTGAAATGTTGAGGTCAATATTTCCCTTGTAGGCTTTACATGACATGATTTTGTGTCCATGTTATGATAAAGTCTTCTAATTACACAGATATGTTCTTCCTCTGCTTTTAGTGCATAAAAGCTCTTGTGTTTTCCTTTTAAAAAAAGACAAACACATTTTTTCTGCAAGAATAAAGGCTGTTATAATTGATATTGTTAGTGTAATATTTAAAATGTCATAATATACACCACATGACAAATTATTTATCATTATATTTGCAACTAAGTGGTTGCTTCTTGGGCAAAAGTAATTTTTGAAAGCTGTTCCCTCTTTATTTGCTGCTGTAATTGCATAGGGGTGAATTCCCAGCTTGCAGGAAAAGAAAGGGAGGATGCTCTGGAATGACTCTCCAGAGGTGTGAGGTGTATCCCTGGTAGTGCTGCGGTTGCTGTGTGATGTTGCAGTTCCTCTGGCTGTTTGCAGATGGTCATCACATTTCTCTCTGCTCTTTCAGATTTTCAACTTAAGATCATGATTTGCAGGACTGCCAAGTACTTTTAATAGTAGCAGAATCAGTGTGAGCTCTAATCTGAATATATTGGGTGCTATAGCCTGGGGAATCACTCCGAACATCACCAGATTGCAGGTGTATCAAAGCAGGTCCCCAGATACATGGATACTTTTGATCTGGACCTGTGTAAATGGCATAGTTTTAAAAGGTTATGATGAGAGAAAATTTGGATTTTTATGGTGATTGCAAAATGTATACTGGTCAACAAAACTGCAAGACTTTAATGGACATGAAGTGCTTAAGCCCTTCAGAAACAGGAACACCTTCATTATTAACATGAAAGGTATTTTTTATTTAGCCATCTCTTCAAAACTATTCCTGAAACATAAGGAAAAGAAATTACTTGAAAGCAGGAATCTGTCACAGTTAATACAGATCACAGCCAGGGCTTCCCAACACTATAAATAACCAAAAATTGTCTTAGAATGCAAATCATTTGAATAATGAAAAGTGCTACCAGCTCTGTGAAGCAATTAACATGTAAAATAAACATCATCTGTAGGTAGCTGAGAAAATTTTATCCATGGAGGACACCCAACCTTCAGTAGCTTTAAACTCTTTCCTTCCATCTATAAATGATTTACTTTTCTCTTTTTCAAGGTTGGAGAAGGGTTGTTATTGTTCTGTCACTTGTCACTTCTACTGATGAGGAATGTATTGCTCAGATGCTGAACACCCCTTTAACTGGGGAACTGACTACTGTGTTCCTCCGATATACCTGAACTGCTTAGGAACCCTCTTCATAGTTTCTTCTTCATGTAGATTTTGTTGGTGATTGGTGGCAAGAGTGTCCTTAATAATAATTGTGCTGCTGTGCAACATGGCCTTTGAGAACACTGCCTCATTTGGTTTGCAAGAACATACATTAATGACTGTACAGAGGCTGTGTGGGAAACTGTCTTCAGTTCTGACAAGTGGACCTAACAAGTCAGAAGGGTTAAAAAAACCCCACATGTCATTAGCAATGAAAATGACTTAATATTCTGAATTTTCATTTAGAGTCTCAGCACTAATTATTCCTTTGACAGTAGTAACCATTAAAAATATTGTCCCTCTTCTAAAGATACAGAAAAGGAAATACAAAGCCTTTGAAATGTCAAATATTAAAAATTATGTTTTGATTTTAGTATCTTTATTCCCCTTATCTGAAGAGCTTTTTTTATTAAATAAACATGAACTCCGTTCAGCAACTTCATAAAGACTGTTTTGTTCTAAATGAGAAAAAGTAGCTAGCTGAGAGGAAACAGATACGCGGCTGCTGTTCCGTATCTAAGAGGCTCACAGATGAAAGGCAGCCAGTGCAGCTCCTCTGTCTGGCATGGGCTTGTGCTTTACAGCTTTGCTGCTGAAAAACATCGGCCCCAACACTGACCGACCTGGCAAACCCGTACCAGCATCAAAGTTGTCCTTGCTTTAGCTCCTGCCACCCTGTCAAGCCAACAGCAGTAAATGATGCTGGCTGGCTGGCTAAAGCAGACTCATCATACGGCTGTCAGTGCGAGGCACAGGGAGAAGTGTGACTTCATACTGCTGCTCAAAAAGAAAACCCTGCAGAGCACAGAGTTGGCTTACACAAATATGAGGAAACCCTGGTTGTAAAGAGAGAAGTGGGGCCTCATACATTTTTGGAAGGGGAGAGGTGCCCTGTTAGCTTTGTGAAGTCTCCGGGTTTGTTTTTTGTTTTCACTGGCAAACAGTTTAAGCGAAGAGGATCTGATGTTGGGAATAGAGCCCTGGTAAGGCCGTTAGTGGAGTGGAGGGAGTCAAAAAGGAAATACATATATGTAGTAAAGCCCAGCAAGCGATTACTTCTTAGCAATACAATGAATCTTCAGAATTTAATAAAATATAGCGGTGTTTTTCTGTGTACTTGAACACTTGTACTTCCACCCCCACAGGCTACACTAGCCAAGAAAAGGGTAACATTACCTGTTTGTGTGGTGGTAATGTCTGTAATTAGGGACAGTACTAAGAGCTCCTTCCAAGGACATCTTAGCTCACAAGGTCATTATGAGCTCGTTACTGGCAACCAGCACACCACTGCGTGGAGGTTTACCCTTGCTTGAGTGACGCTTCCCCCCTAGGGAGTTTGGGCCTTCTGGAGCTTCTCGTCCCAGACAATACAATAATTGGACATTACTCTTTCCAGATCATAGTGTCGCCAAGGTTGGAAGGGACCTCTTGAGATGATCTAGTCCAACTCCCTTTTGTTCTCAAATGCGTTTGATGCCATGGTGCTGCATTAGTTGTAGATTGGCAAGATTTGATCGAGTCGGTTTGTAACTTAACAGCTTATTCTCTGCAAATAATTTTATGCGTGACCCTTTAAGCCCAGCTGTGATGTAACAACTTGGGCTCTCACAGTGTTCACCTATCAACTCAGAAGCTGCCCTGGCCATTCCTTGCTTTACAGGGGGCAAATTTACTAGTACCAAAGTCATTTAGTGATTATGTAAACAAAGGTTAGGAGTAAATAATGTAATCTGTGGGCTAAGAAGCACTTTTAGGATGAGGTAAGAGTAGCTACCTGAGAGCAGATGAGCAATGCTGTAATACTACATCAGGTGTTACTAAGCTTTTCTCAAAATACGAAATTTGAGGAAAGATCAACGCTGTAATACAAGTCACAAATATGAATATCAATTATTTAAGATCCAAGTTTGGGAATATCTCTTTCAGTACTGGTTTAGCATGATTCGTTATACCAAAAAAGGTTCTTGAGAATGTTTTTGTGGACATAATGATAAGGTATAAAGCTCAAATTTATGAAATGGTGTAAAATGCATACCTAAGAACTTCTGTAGTAGTCATCTATGGTCGTCTTTTCCACTGAATCATCTGAGAACAGGTAAGCTATACGCATCAATGTTCCGATTAATCCTATTTAAAACTTTACCTTTAACCCAGTTGTCATCACAGCTTTATACATGTGGTATATGTGAGGCTAAACATTCCAGACCCAGGGAATTCCAAGGATTGTATTTTGTTTTGCAACTGGAGGAGCACATTAATGCAGTGCAAGGCAAGCATTCGCAGAGCAGCAGTAAAGAATGGGAAGCAAACAGGAATGGCAGATTATTGGGTGGGTGGTTTTTTCCTCCCCTGGAAACAGAAACCCTTGTGTCTTCTCAACTGTAGGCAGTTGCCAGCTTTGTTTTGTACAAAGGTACAAATTAATTGTACCTGTGCACTGGCAGGACCAATACTGGTTAAAAGATCCATTTCAGGCTGCATTTTTTCTCCATGCCTTCACAGTCGGCATCAAGGCAAGAGAGGTTTCAAAGTTTTGGCCTTTATTGAGCTTAGCCTATAGGTAATACAAAATGATAATTTTCACATACATAGAGTCTTAAAATATCTCTGATGGCAAGACAACCTTTTGTTGTGTCTGATGTTAAAGATTAGTCCAGACTGAGTAGTTCTTAAGGTTTATTTTTCACTCTCTGTAAAAGTTGGATTTCCCTTTTTACTTCCTTCTCAACTTACTGTATTTGGAAGTGTCATAAATTTCCTAAGCACCTAACATGTCCTAAGCACCTGATCTGATGTTTAGATATGTGTGAGGTCAAGCTTTATCAGCAAGTAGAAAAATAATTTTGTAATTATAACATGATGCACTTATTTTTGTCCACAGCATCATAAAATTACCTTGCTACCATTCTAGGCAAACAACCATAAGCTGCCTCTGAACAATGTAAAAGATTGTTTTTCTAGGTAGGTTTTTATTTACTTTTTCCTTCACTTCCTTTGAAAACAAACAAAAAACCACTGGAAGGAAAAGGATTTCATCTCATAGGATTCTATACTGAAACTTACTCCAAACACTGTTAGAAGTTCATAGCAAGATCGTTTTTAGATTTTTTTTTCTTCTCATAATGCAGTAAAAACCAAAAAAATACAAATAATGAAAACATTAAGGAAGACACTGATCTACAAAGCCATTGTTATCTTGAATCAAGGGTCCGTAAAGATATTCTGGGTCTACTGTAGTAACTTGCTGACTAGACATGCTAAAAGTCAGTACACAAATAAATACACAGTCTTCTAAATCAGGAACAAGTGCTCACTCCAAGTTTTTATTAAAATTGAACACGGAAAAGTATTTGAACATACTTCTGGTTGAGAATCCAGACAGCTAATATGTTTTCAGGATCATCTGGTATTACAGTATTCCAGAATCTGTTACCCCTTTTGAGTGTACATTCATAGGAACATGAAAGTGAGCAAGCACCTCGTTATTCAGCCAACCACCACTGTATCATCGCCAAGAAACTGGTAAATTGGAACTTCAAGGTTATAGGGAGCGGGACCTTTCCTAATTCTGCCAGAGGCATCATAATGGGACCCATGGCAAGGGCAGTAATAACCGCCAAAATCTCCAGAGTTAGCAATGGGAACACAACCAAGATGAGTGCAGACACCTACTAATATGACCCATTCTGGTTTCTTTACTCTGTCTAAGTCATGCTGCGGATCCCTCAGTTTAGACAAATCAACTTCAGCTTCCTGATTAATCTCTGCCTGGGTTCTGTGACGCACAAAAAGGGGCTTCCCTCTCCACTTGAAAGCCATGTTCTTGCCTTCTGGAATGTCAGATAACTTGATCTCAATCTTTGACAATGCTAGCACATCAGCAGAGGCACTCAGGCTGGAAATAAACTGGGTGACAACATTCTTAGCAGTATATGCAGTTGCTACACATGTCGTTGCAGTCACCAGGTAGGAAAACCCTTTTCTAGCTTCACTGCTGCCTTGAGAAGATGTGGTAGCATCTAGAACGTCTTGACGACGATAGGCAGAGAAGTCAGGTACCACAACATCATTATGGATGTAACGAACACTGGCAGGTGCTGCAAGAAAAGGAAGATGAAATAAAAACACTTTCAGGTAAAAAATATTATGATATATTTTAAGCTATACTTTTTAAATTGAATTTTTGGAATAGTGGGTATCAGTGGGTATATCCTACTCCAGAGTCTGGGTAGGATTCTGCTAATTATACACTTCAATTTTAAGTTGTAGGAAAATGGTTTCCAGAAGGTATTTTCAGTAAACAAGTGATTTGTGAAACTGTTTTAGCTATTCAAAACTACTGTCAAAATTGAAAACTACACGAAGCCTGGTAACAATGCAGAAAAATCTCTGAGAAGTTTTGGGTTTGAAGTAAACTGTGTTTTCAGAAACTTTCAAGGAAAAACCCCTGCACAATACCATGGCTACGTTAAGAACAGACAAACCTGTTTTCTAGTCAAATGCTTCCCTGAAAAAAATTGCTATGAAGAAATTTAGTAAAGTTTGCACATCTGTAGCGTAACACTTTTGTGCTTTCCTTTGACTTAAGGTTATTAAAGGCATAGAAGTTAATTAAGTGTGTGGTTACACATTTTTAAGATTAAAAATGCAGTATCTGGCATCCCCCTTTATATTAAACTGTTGTCAAAGCTAACTGCCCCAGTAAATAATTTTTGAACCTACCATCCAAGCTCACTTCATGGAAGGATTTAGGGATAAAGCTAGTAACTATCCAATTCCCAAGCTTTTCAAGAGGGATTCCCAAATCAAACCTCTGTGTTAAACTAACAAGACGTGACAGCTAACTAAGAGGCCTTCTACTAGTTTCTCCAGAAGCAAAAAGCTGCTTCCCTCAATTAACATCTATCAGCCAAAGACAGAACATACTATTTGTCAAACTGCAACCTCTGCTATTTGAAAATAACTATTTAGTCTTTATTTTTTCTAGCAGCTAGCACAAAGTTAACAAAAGTTAATAAAAAGCATTCTCTCGAAGTACCTAAAAGAACTCTCAGGGATTTATATGCAATATAATGGGGAAAATATGTACATTTATTTACAAGTAACTCAGCGTAGTGAAGGTAGTTGCTGCAGAGAAACTAAACTGAAATTCGAAATTCTGAAAGCCATACTACTGGCTCTGAACGAATAGCTAAACCAT